ATATAAATAGTAGAGCCAAATCAACAAATGTTCTGAAGATTTCAGTCATCCATGAAACAGACTGTCGTCAATGGGTGTCCATATATATATATATATATATATATATATATATATATGGACACTTAAAACTAAATTGGGGCGTATATATACATATGGACATTTAAAACTAAATTAGGGCGTATATTTCTAAACCTCATCAAAAAACATTTCCCCAACCCTGAAACTAACCCACTTAGTAAAATATTTAATCCTAATACCCTTAAATTAAGCTATAGTTGTGCTGATAACCTGGAGAAGATAATTAAAAAACATAACATAGTCTTTAACAGTTATAGGAATTCAAAAGGCTTGACTACTCAACAGGTTACTAACTGCAATACTAAATATAGCAATACAAATAACAACTTATGTAATTGTAGGAATCCGAATAGTTGTCCACTACAAAATAACTGTGGGATTACTTCTGAAGTCTATCTTAGTACTATTTCAACAATTGAAAATCCAAATATAAAGAAGTTTTACATTGGTTCTACCATGAAAACATTCAAGGAACGCTGGCGGGGGCATATGCAATCCTTTAATCACAGTGAATATAGGTACATGACTTCATTATCCAAGTATTTTTGGAATCTAAAAGATAAGAACAAAACACCTACGGTTAAATGGAGTTTGGTTAAGAAAGCCCGGACATGTAACTCCCTATATGCCCCATGTTACCTATGCCTTAATGAAAAATTTGAAATTATTAGATTTAAAAACAAGGCTGATCTCTTAAATCAAAGATATGAACTTACAGTTAATTGTAAACACCGTTATAAATTTAACTTAGTGTAGGGGTCGTATACTTTAAATGATAATGATATGTCGCTGTATTTTTAATAGATTAGTATTTTTATTGCATGATGGTCATACTTACGATATAAATGTGTATTGTTTACCTGCATAGTGTTATTAGTGTTGGTGTATATGTGTATATATTTATTTATGTGTTGGTTAGAGTATTTGCACTGAGGAATGTGTAGGTTTGAGTATAAGTGTATTTATAGTTTTTTTTATGTGTGTGTGTGTGTGGGGTGTTTGTGTATATATATATGTGTGTCTGTGTGTGTATATATATATATATATAATGTGGGAAGGTATGGTAGATTAGAAGAGAAAAGGTTAATAATTGTTGATGTATATGTGTATGTGTGTGCCTATATATGTATGTGTGTATGTGTGTGTATATGTATGTATATGTGTGTATATGTGTATATGTATGTATATATGTATGTATATATGTAAATATATATATGTATGTATATATATATATATATATATGTGTGTGTGTATATATATATATATGTACGTATGTGTGTGTGTGTGTATATGTATCTGTGTGTATGTGTATATATATAAATATGTATATGTGTATGCATGATAACATCACGACGGTATAATGGTTGGCAGCATGGTTCGCTAGATCAATTGCGACTGAGTAATGAGTTCATTCCTCACTGGGTGCCCCCAAATTTCGGCTTTGTGCCACGATATATTTGTATATATATGTATGTGTGTGTGTATGTGTGTATGTATGTGTATATATATATATATATATCTGTGTGTATATATGTATGTGTCCTATTTTATTGTGTATGTATATTTATATTTAAGTATATTTCTGTGTGTATGAATGTGTTTATATATTTGTATGTTAGGCTATATGCATATTGCTGTGTGTTAGTATTTGAATGTATATTTATGTATCTAAATGTTAGTACGTTTATATATGTATTTGGTTGAGTGTTGTATTTTTATGTATGCATGTATATATTGGTAGTTGTTATTGTAGAGAGATATATTATATATAGGTTTATTTGTAGATATGTATGTATGTGTATATATATTTATGTATGTTTGTGTATGTATATATGTGTGTGTTGGCACCTATTATGTATGAGTTTGTTTGTGTGTATGTGTGGGTATGGAAACTTTGGTATATAATGACTGTTTTTATATATGTAAGTATGTGTGCATAAAAATCTGTGTATATATGTGTGTATTTAGGTTTATATGTATATGTGTGTGCATGTGTACTTGTTATCATAGATATGTATATGTGCGTATATGTTTATGTTTATATATTTATTTGTATGTATTTCTGTATGTATATGTATGTATGAGTGTATGTTTATGTGTGTTAATTTGTGTTTGCTGCCATGTATAAATATATATATGTATCTCTGGGTTTCTTTATCCTGTTTTTTTTTTGCATAATATATAATGAAACTATTATCAAATTATATGATTAATATCAATTTTATTGATATTTATGGTTTTGGAATTTTCGTTTTAATATATTAAATAATATTATTTTTAACCATTTTTATCTTTGTATATTTGCTCCCTTAAGTTATAATTTAATAAGTGGTTAGCATTTATTTAATGATACTTTAAGTCTGAAATATTTATTGGTTGTGATATCTGATTGTCTATGTCATTGTCTGCGGATGTATGTATGTGTATCTATCGGTGTCTCTGTGTATGTAGAGTGTATTCACATTTAACTGTGTGTGTGTATAAGTGTTGGTTTCCACGTCTCCTTTTTTCATAAAGGGCTGTAGAGATGTTCATGTCTCACCCCCCACTTTTTTTGTGTATGTGTGTGTGCGTGTGTGTGTGTGTGTGTGTGTGTGTCTAATTATGTCTGGGTGCTTATGTATTATAATCTGATTGTGTTTTTGTTGTTTTGCGCGTGAGTTTAAGACCACATTCACACACTTTAAAATAAAAAAGGAAAAGAAAGGGAAAAGAAAAAATATATATACATGTATTGTCAAATGACCATATATATTGTATACGTCTTGTCTAACGTAATTTCAATGAAGAAATGAATTGAATAAACATATTTTTTCTTTTCTCAATAATTTTGTAGATTTTAAACTTAATAGTGATTAAATTTGGATTTTAAAATTGCAAGTTTTTAATTTTAATATTAAATTTTATCATATAATTTTATAATTATTGGTTAGTATAAATTATTTTTAATATTACACGTATTTTAAAGATCTGAATAGCTATTATAACATGATTTCGTTGTCAAGCTTTTGAATCTTTCTATACTTCGTTTTGAAGATTTAGGTCATCCATGAAACAGACTGTCGTCAATGGGTGTCCACATATCTATATATCTATATCTATATATATATATATATATATATATATATATATATATATATGTGTGTGTGTGTGTGTGTGTGTGTGTGTGTGTGTGTGTGTGTGTGCGTGCGTGTGTGTGTGTGGACAAAACCTATACTGAAACAATTGTTTGATCAGAAATTGTATGAAAAAGGCTTAAGTAGATGTCAGTCTACCAGAAGACCCCAATGCTAAGTGAGAAAATAACGACTGTGAAAAGAGTCAAAGAGGTTAGTAAAATCTTTTAGCGTGTGTCTACCCTTGTATTGTTGCCTTCATTGTGGAAGTGTTCATCGTGTGTTTCTTAAGCCGTGCGCGTCTCTTCATTTTGATGCATATTTTTGCGTTTGCAAACTTTCTACTCAGCAATGTGTTGTCTGTCTTAAGCCTTTTTTTTAAATACGTTTTTTTTTTCTTTTTATATTTCCAGATGATGTCCAAAAATATTTCTTTCTTTTTTCATTGAGGGAACGATACAGTCACTGGCTTTTTTTTAAAAAGCAGCTTTCAACTCCTAAAAAAAGGATACGATAAAGAACAATTTTTTAAACTTGATTCACTTCCCTCCCGTCCCCGAATCAACATAGAGAAGAAAAAAAAGTAAAAAAAACCCCAAAAAAACGTTGACTGCAAAGATAAAGAAACTAACTCCAGTGAACTTGTGTAAAATTCTTTTTTATTACATCTAAAATTAGTGCCAGTCATTCTATCTTCTTAAAGTTATTTATTTTTCTTTTAATATTAAGCCAGAAACAACATCTCCTTCAAAAGTATGGCTTTCTTACTGTTTTTTTAATCCATCCTCAGAAATAGACAGAGTACAAAAAAGAAGAATATAACGTAACCAGAAAGACAAAAAACAAGCTACACTAACATATAAGAAGAAGGGCTACTGGATAGATTCGGTCTCTTCACACTTCCCAAATCCTGACGAAATACTCAAATTTATTTTCGAATCATGGCCGGATCGAGAAGATTTCAGCAACCTCTTCCATGATTATCTTTCACAGTCTAATATTGTACATCACTTTTTGTATGTACTCGTTTCATCTCATTTTTATTCAGGACTCATAAAGTCGCGTTCATTATAAACTAAGATAGATGGAAATGTGGTACGAGGAGTTGCTCTGATTTCTCAACCAGGGCACAGTGGACCCTGTGAACAGGTTGCTAACCTTGGGGCTACGGACGGACCCACTTTGAATTAAATGTGTATGAGATACTGAGTGATAGAAACCCAAATGTAAAAGATTATCATTCAAGAATATCAGACGATCAGTGAAAGTTAACAGAAGATTTATAATTTTAGAGTGAAACAGAAATTTATTTTAAGAAAAAAAAAAAAAGACATCATGTAACATTTTTTCAGGAATGCAAACTTTTTTCTATAAATATTTTATGTTTGTTTACATTGTTGTGTTCACTCCTTCAAGATCAATAATTTACCATATTCTTTGCAGTAAAATATCAAACGAAAGTGGCACAGCAAAAATTCATTTTTCTTAAATAGCAAAATTTATGTTTCATTTTTCTAAAAAAAATCATCGATGCAAAAAAACGGGGCAAATTGTGTGCCGCATCAGTTGATGCGAGGCACGTCCTTCAACATCAAGATGCAGGACCATCCCCCGCATATTAGGGTACGGTTGGCAATCCTATAAGAAAAAAAAAGAAGGGAAAAACAAATGAGGCTGAACTCTTGGGTTATCGCTCTGCTTTCAATTGTCAGCAGAATCATTGCTGGAAGACAACAGATAATGACCAATTATTTCCACAGATATTAAAATAATCTAGAACTTTTACTGGGAATAAACTGTCTGCCG